AGAATTTAAGACGAGCAATAAGCTTATCTCACTTGACAGCGGAGGTAAAGGACTAGCGGATAAGATAAGAACGTATCGCAAAGGATAAACAGTGGCTCATGACAATGGTAGCCGAAGCTTCCGGTTTCGCCCATGAAAATAAAGCATCTCGTGCACTCCTGTGCAACGTCAAGATAACGGGACATTCGTGAACGAGTCTTATCATCTGGCTGAAATCAGGAACGAAAGGAGGAGAAAAACGTGGACGCGGAGGATCTCGAGGGATATATATCGACTAGGTCAACTTTTGTCTCTGAGCGTTCATCGTCCTCAATGACCACGATGTTCATTAATTAAGAGCACGAATCGCGTGACCGGAAGTGAATGAGAACCGCTCCGCAGCGGGTCTACGTAGGCGTAGTCCCGTGTTTCCAGTTTCCTACGACGACTTCACCGTAATGCTGTCTCGCCGATAAGAAAAATCTTCCGGAATATCGACTGCCTGGTGGTACATGGTACTACGATAACACCGGGATATTTCGCTTCTATCCGAGGATGTTGAAATCGATCGAGAAAGCCGAGTTTTCTTTGAAATCCAGCGCGAGAGGACGAGACGGAATTTCAACCGTCAAACGGAGCACACGAGAGAATATTCTATAGACTTGGAACTGTTGAATTTAATAATTGACGTTATTTGAAGAGGTTTGCCGTTGTAGAAGCAAGTTTAATTTGATCTGGCCGGAAAAGAGCCAGACTACATACGCTCTAAGTTTCGCAGGATTACGCGCCATTAACAATTGGACGAAGGCACATAAAAAGAGTTATCGCGTAAGAAAAATTCGCTGAACGCGCAGCGTTTTTGGTGGCAAGTGGGAAGAAAACGCGAGACCACGATGGAAATTGCGCTCGATAAAATACGCGCGAACTTCCTATTATTTTTGTGTTTCTTTAAACGACCGTCAAAAGAATTTTTATTGCGACACAATGCTGCACTCGAAGAGAAATTTATCTCCCTTGTGTACTGGTTGAATGCTCGCAGACGGTGCATTTCGGTTCATTTATAAGCGCAGAATAGGACTTGCAGCGTGACGTGCGAGACCCCGCCACCCCTATTTAATTCCATATTATCCATCCTGAAAAGAAAAAAAAAAAAAAAAAGGAGAGAGGGAAAAAAAAAAGGATTTGAGATCCGGTTCGAGGTCGATTCCCTCGACTTACGCGTTCAAGGTTGGGGCGTGTGACACGACCATTAAAACACAATAGATCATTTCGAGCCCGTCGAGCTGCTATATAATTAATTTCATAGAAATGCACGCGGGAATTTACGACTCTCTTCTTTGCTACGTTTGCAGTGATTTTCGCCAAAATTCGCAACTTGAACGACGACGCTTCTCTTCGTCCAACTTATCGACAACTTCACATTTCGATAGACACGTATTTAGCACTTGTGTGTGCTAACTGTAGATATAACAAGATATTCCAGATTTCAACCGTCAGACTTCGTCAACATATATTTGGAACGTCATTTTAAACGAAAAATGTTATGTACACTATGGATCGATTCGTCTTTTTCCAAGATGTAGACAGAACTATTGATAGTTATTTAGTTGGAGCATTATTCTCGTATTCGTTGTACTGTAATATTTTTGTGAATGAAATCGAGAATGTATTTAGATGGAAAATCTAATGTAAAAATCGGAAGTAACAATTTTGTTAATATTCAGTAGGTGCCTATTTCTGTGCGCAAGAACAAGAAGTGATCGTTTTGAACAATTTGTGTAAACCAATCTGAATCAGTGTAAAAATCGTGAAATAAATGGTTGTTAGTTATCTTCGATGTACCTGATTACTTGTGGTTTATACTTTCCCATTTTATATTTCGAAAACAAAGATGAATCCATCCAAATGGTACGCATAATATTTTTTGTTTAAAACGCGTTTTCTCCCAAACATGTTGGCAAAGTTTGAAGATTGAGATCTGGAACATGTTGTATAATAAAATGTCTATCGACTATCGACGCTTGTTACATTCTGTTCGTGTAATCTCGCACAATTACGGTATTACGCATACGCCGTGTGTTCCCGGTCGGTGAAAAGGATTGAATTCTTCCGCCGTTCGCTGTTACTTGATCGACTGATATCGAAGCATAACGAGCAATAGGTATTTCTTATTGTAACGTAACACCAGCGTCTCTACAGTATACATTTTAATCCGGCAAACAATCTCCACGATAACGACATCGTCGTCTATAGACTATGGACATAGATCCATAGATCCACAGCCATTAGTATTCATAGATCTAGCATGTTAATTACTTAATACTTAATCCTTCCGTGGTAAATATAACGTGTGTGTGATATATGATTCATCGTAGGGATTTTGTAATGATAATCTACGCGCGGGAAATTCAAACAAATTGCACGTACGTATATACATGATAGCGATGGTATGCGACAATTGGGAGCGCGAGAGCAATCTGCAGATCAACTTACTAGGAAATTCAATAGGGAGAGACGAGGCAAGGTGCCGCCACGATTAGTCGAGGACGATTCCATTGGTGTTTCTTTGTACGTCAGTCCTCGATGACGAGTTTAAAGTTTAAAGAACCGAACAATTTCTTCTTCACCGACACCCGGCGAAATTGACGCATCGCGTCGTTTTTTTTTTTTTTCCTTTCGTCCGCGAATTCGAATCGAAACGAATCAGCAACGGTCTAGCGTGACGAACCGTTGATGCATCAGAATTTGCTCGAACGTGAATTGCAAACTGAAAGATCGCGAATGGAACAATCAAACTGATGCCGATTGATACGATAGAAACTTTGATTCAGCTAAAACTGATCTCTCGTAATTGCGCAGTGATCATGCGATTATTTCATTTGCGATTGTTTAATTTCGTTAGCCACGTCGATAGACCTTGCGCTCCTCTTTTTTTCGTTTATTTTCCGTGTTTTCGCGAGAAGATAGAAAGATGAAGAATGCCGAGATTACATTGGTGCCTCTCCTTGCCAAGGCTGTTGAGGACGCGCAAAAAGGAGACAGTAACAAAAAAAAACGACGCGACGCGCGAGAGAGCGTCGCGAATTTGCAAACACGTTTTCATGAAGAGTCGTCGCCGCCGTGTCGCGACAAGTCTGCCAAGGATGATCGATAAATTTAATTATTGTCTGCCACGATTGTTCTTTCTCCTGATATCGGAATTTCCAGATATAATTTTCAGGCTACTAGCGGTGTCGCGTTCATTAGCGTCACAGATAATGATAAGATAACGAAAGGTGAGCGAAGTAAACAGACCTGGAAAGATCTGACTCGCGATCACCGACCCGTTTGTAGTTACGTCATTTCTAAACACTCGCTGCCTGCGAGCTCGTAATTTCACACGGTGGAGCATGGTTCGGAAGAACGAAAAATAAAGATGAACATCCATAGAACATCCATGCAATATAGTTACGAAAATCTTCGTCTTTGAACGCGCACATAATTTGTCAAGACATGTTCGTTTCAGTCATTTTTAACCATCAATTTTCATAGGCACCTACGCATAATTGCATTTTATCTATTCTACAACAAGAACAAATTGATAGTTCGTGTTCCTTTCTTTCCACCTTCTTTTTCATCTTTCAATTGCTTTTTAAATTGTTTGCAAAAATAGAAACGTATTTCATATTGCTTCATTAATAAACGTAAATAATGTTACGACATTATATAAGACCACATAGTAACCTTTTTCTTACATTTGAATTTCATACGCGATTGAAATCTAACAATCATCAGTGGCTATCTTTGTACATTACGATGCATTGCATACATGTTCCTATATACAGGGTGTTCCGAAATTAAACGATCAAACTGCGAGGGCTTCATCTATATATAAAAGAAGAAACAAACGTTATATAAAGTTTGTCAGAAAACCCTTTTTCACACAGTTATATTACAAATACTGTATGAGCTGAAATAAGCAGCTACGAATTTTTCTTTACTATTTAATTTTTATTTATGGAGTACTTTAAAACAAAAAATTTATTCAACAAAAGCAATTTCACAATGGAAAACGAGTGTAAAAACGTAGTTTTATTAAAACTCAACAAAAATTCTCAGATACTTTATAGTATTATCAATTCTATTATTCATTGATATCAAGCTTGATGGAATTAAAAATTTTTTTTATTGTATTATTATAATTAATGATACGAAATTGTTAACATAATATTTGTTTATTCAAACAAGACATATCGAATTTTATATAACATCCTTTAGATTAAGCTCTCGCAGTTTGATCGTTTAAGTTCAAAACATCCTATATACGTACGTATTCTTTTACTGTTGAGTTAAACTTTATTACTCTGATATTCTTCAAAATAATAAAATACATTAAAGCCATGTGTAATTTTTTTTCTATAAAACTCGAAAAGTTTTCTTGCGTTTACGTAATTCACCAATGCAAGAATTACATACATTTATTTCTATTTTTGGGGCAGAAACACTGAAGCAAAAATCGCAATCGTAAGTGGAAACAAAATTGTCTACGTTGAAAAGAGAATTACTTTATTGTCCGATCTCCGATTTTATTTGCACCTGATGTGTGTGCACATATGTACATAGTTGAGCGGCGATTAAAAGTTCGCCGATAATATCAAAAAAAATCAGGGGTCAAAACAAATTGAGAACGATCCGATGCTGGAATGGCTCACAGTGAATATTTTCATCCGGATAGATCTGATACGCGACCTGCGTAGAAAACATCCAGCAGGATGGCAGGAAGAAGGAAGCCCTTCCTGTCGCGTAACGATTATTTCAGGCATCCTGTGTGTCATCCTACAGCAGCATTTTATGTAACACGATTCGCGTAATCGCGATCCTCTTTCGCCGGCGTGACCAACACATAGGGAGGCTCAAAGATGGCCTCTCCCATCGTTCTCTTATCAAATTTTACAATGCCGTTATTCAAAAGGTGAAGCCGCATGATTTTTTACGGTTTATCGCAATCAATTGTTCGTCTGCTAAACATTGTTAGTACTTACGATAACGACGAGTCTCGCAATATTCCAGTGATCCGCTCCGAAAACACTCCTGTATCCACCGACAAATCTACCACCTGATCCAAAACTTTCGAGACAGGGCACACGTTTCACTGATCGTAACAATCGATACACTTGATTACTTGAGAGAAAAACAAACGAACGTTCGGCGTACGATCGCTAAAACACGAAGACACTGTGTCAAAAGTAGGATCGTAAACAATACGCGAGATACCCGGGTCACTTGCAAATTCAATCGGTCGCGATCAGTTGTCGTAAACACTAGCCGCCATGCTCTCATGGCACCTGTCAATATCAGAATGTGTCACCGCCATCTTGCGGCATTCGCGTCCGTTGCAAATACTAGCGCTATCTATCGACGTTCGTGCGCAATATCGTTTCAAAACTGCAACATCCATTACCATTCACATCGGCAAGTAATTGCGAGTGTATCTCGCGTTCAATAATTTCTGCATCATTTTTTATCTTAAAATATATACGTATGTAGTTTATTATTTGACATTTGAAGCATGCCATGTTAGTATCGATACAAAAAGGGTGTTGCCGCATGTTCGATAATAAATAAAAAGGTACGATAATAAGAATAATTATAGTATGAACACACATCACATGTCAGAAAAAGAGATATACACATATATATATATATAGCTAAATACTTTCTTACAATTAAAATAAGTGTACGTTCTGGAACTATTCGCATTACCGTAGCAACAGCGATAAACAAAATGATGCAAGGATGATACGTGTAATCAATAATAATACTACAATAAATAAGAAATGAGTTTACCGGCGAGTTTAATGTGCGGAAATGTCGAAGGAATCACACAAACGCACGTTCGACTTAGCATCGTGAAATTCGTAATACGACATTTGCATCGCGCATGGATGCCAATGTCGCATTTCAATCCAAGAACAAATATATAAAATAAATTATGAAGACTCGGTAGTCCGTGGACACTTGCGCTTATGACGGATAAAAATGCGAAGCACGTATCGCGAAAATTGGCTGTTGGCCATAAACTACAGTCTTGGTCAATCGATACAATCGATCGGGAATCGCGGCGAATGCGAGAATCGTGAATCTCGATATGGTAAGATTACAGGAATAACAATAAAAATCTCGATTGTCGTTCATTATCGTAATTCGAGTTAGGCGTACGATTAATGAAATATCTGTTTCTCGAAATATTTTTCTCTCGAAAAGATATCTTATATTAAAATTCTGCAGATACTCCGGAGATTTGTCGAATATGATTTCAAGAGGAACGAACTGTAACAGTATATATATGTACGATCGAAGTGCAAAAATCGATATCCTTTCTCGATTAAATCGTTCGGTCGTCGTATAAGAATATCTTATAGGAATCTATCGCATTTGTCGAAAGAATATAATTCGATTTATATTCGGTTTATAATAATAATCAACATACGTGTCGTCTTGAAATCAATTAATTTCTGAAAAAATATTTTTTTAAAAGGACATTCTAACGAGAACAGAGTTTGATCAATCTAATACAAATAATTCTTAGGTTCTTCAGTCGGTTGACCGCACACACCATGGTACTTCTTCGTAACTAAGCTTCGACTACGGCAGTTTTCGATTTCCAAGAAACATTCATTACTGTAGGTCATGCCGTCGGTACCGCAAACAGGATCATAGTAAGGTGAACAAATCTTTTGGCAACCACGGAATAAGAAACCTTGTAAGCACCTCTTCATAGGCACCACGTACACGTGTTTTCTAAGAAAAAAAATTGATCATCACCGTTTGTAGGACAACTTTGTCAATTAATTGAGTTACCTAAACGGTCGTCGAAGTTCAGGTAAGATATAATTTCAAACACGATTATTGCTTACCCGCAATTATCCCTCTTCATCTCACACTCATTGCGATAAAGTTTATTGTCGGAACCGCAAACAAACTGCCGTTCTCCGCTACAGATCTGGTTGCAGAGTGCTGTGGTACGACAATGCTGCGCTGGAACTTGAACCACCCTCTGACCACATGTCTCACGCTGCAGATGACAAAGGGACCTGAACGTATATAAGTGGATACATTGAGACATTAAAGATGCAGAGTTTTCTAAGAAATTAGGAGCATGGAGTGCTGCGCTAGAATTTTAGGAAACACTTGCTAGATCTGATTGGTAATTATCATTAAAACGTTTATCAATAGATTAGATAAAAAATTTGAATACCATTAGTTAAGAAATAAAAAAAAAGTCTACCAAAAAATTGGACGAGTAATTTCAATGGTACGAGTAATACGGTTAAGAAAGAGACTCGGATGTCCATTCTTCGCGGTGAGTAGCGATTTATTATCCACACGTCTCTAAAACTCTCAGCGCCGAACGTCCTGGAATCCAAATAACGCTCTTAATCACCGATAAACATTGCCGTCGCTTCCACAAACTGGTTCCTCAGGTACCTCGCTACAATCTTCGGGGCACTGTTCGGTCTCTTTCAAGGTCGTGCACTCTCCGACGTGAGCCAATTGAATACCCTTTCTGAAAAGCAACGGTAACGTCAGGGATCAACGACTGATTGATCCATTACTAATGACTGATGTAACCAAAAGCGCATAAGACGAAACACTTGACAGTAACTTCTCGTTATGGCAATCACGTATCGTTTATCTGTTCAATTCTCTTTGAATAGACGTTCAATAGAATATCTCTGGCATTCAATAGAATGAAAACTTACAGGCACACTGCGACGTTCAAGTGACACTGATTCGGATATGTGTTCGCATCGCTTCCGCAAACTGGATCCACCTCATTTCCGCATCTTTGCTGCTGTTTCATACACTTGGTCAAACGAGCTCGACACTTTTCAAAGTCTACCACGGTTATTTTTCTTCTTGCTTGTCTGCAAAGTAAATCATTACTAAACATTGAAATTACAAGCGATCAACAACGAAAATGTTTAAAATTCATATAGAAAAAAACTGACCCGCAATTAAGCATTTGCATCTCACACTCATTCTTGTATATGCTTCCATCCGATCCGCAGGTTGGAACTTCCGGTTCGTTTTTGCAGTCCAAGGGACAGGCGTTCGACTGGCCACCGGACGTCCGTTCCAGTGACACGCAGTATGACATCGGCACCTCGAACACGTGTTTGCTAAACGATTGATATCGTGGTGAGTCTGGTGACGTATAAAAAGCGAACAGGTTCGCTAGTTATTCACGGCGTTGGCGACGAGTCGCGCGCGCCTGCCTCCGATCGAGGACTTTCTCAAGGATGTGCTTCTTACCCGCAGTTCTTTGCTCGCATTTTACAGGTGTTCGAGTAGAGGATTCCATCGCTACCACAGGCTGGCTTAGCACCACGCCAGCATGATTCACGACAATGTCTCGTGGTTTGACAGTGCTTCTTATTCGTACGTACGACGCCTTGTCTACGATCAAACAGTGCAACCATTGAATCAAAGAAAATTATGGAATGTTCTACGGGTTCTACTGTAATAATAACCAGAACAAAGGTGCCATTCTAACATCTATGTGAGATCACGTACCCACAGGTAAGCAGCTTCATTTGACACGTAGACTTGTAGACGTTGCCGTCGCTACCACAGATCGGTCCGTCGAGTGGTGCAAAGTCGCAGGAGACTGGACAGTTTTCCCTGTGCGCGGAGATGTTGTTGCATGGACCTAGGTGTGACAGTTCGATACCGACTCGACAGATCTCGACTCGCAACATGCATTTGTTGAGATATGTGCGGCCGTCGGTGCCACATACTGGATCCTGATCGCCGGGACAACGATGCTCGCACTTACTACCGGACGACCTTAGGCAAGCGGTCTTTTCCGTAGCTATGGTCACGCCTATGCAATTTGTAAAGTACCGATAATTACCAGCCCCCAGCTGTGCAACCGATAGGCTGCATCGAATGCGCGAAATGTGCCGCCACGTTTACTCTTAACAGATTATCATTAATGATATCCGGGGAATACAATTTAAGGTTGTTCAGCACGCGAAACGTAAGTGTCTCGATGCATCGCTTCGGCGGTAAAGCAACTGCATAATTGCCGACGATACTTCACCGCGCGTACGCATCTTCTAATTATAATTATTACGCGGTTAAAACGGATCCCTTACCTTTTCCACACATCTTCTTCCTCATTTCACACTGAGACGCGTAGATCACTCCGTCGCTACCGCAGACTGGCTCTCCACTTGGCGGACATATTCGGGGACAGGCGCCGGTCACGAAATCTGCACAGAAATTAATAAAACAGATTATAAAAGATCTCGTTAACGTTTGATTTGTTTGTACAAAAGAAAATAATGCAGCACAGCTATTTTCTTCATGATCAAGTACGTGTTACAAGTATCGTAAAATATTGTTTACTGTTACTTGGGTTTATAGCGAGTCGTCAAAACGCATATATGTAAGATCTTCTTTATCAAACTAGCAGTAAGCATTAACCATAATGGCATAATTACAATGGAAAGGTGAACGCGCAAGTCCAAGGAAGAAAGTGACTGGCAGAAGATAAATACCTGCGAAGAATCAAAGGAAACGTTGGTAATTGGAGCCTAGATCGTTTCTGTGCTGGCACCGCAGATCTGCACCGCATCGAAAAAACGGATCTGCGCGCGGAGCGTGTTCGTTCCAGAGTGTGAAAGGTCGAGTTAAAAATAATCGAGCAGACCGGAAGGGAAGAAGCAAAGAAATCGCACTCGTCCCTTTATTCTCCTGGATCGTTTTGTAATGTTTCTTTCTTTCTTTTTTTTTTCTTTTTTTTTGTGGCAACCGCGTGTAGTGGTAACATTAAACCGAGAGATTCTGTCGAAACTTTAATTGCTTCCTGTTGACCCTCCGTGTAGATATCTCTTCAGCAGCGAGTCTGCTGGCTTGGTTTCGGTCCAGCGATCACCGGGTCAACAGCACACGGAATTTACTACAGTCGTTCTACACTGGCACGCATAATATGTAACAAATTATAAAATCGAGGTATACAGTTAAAGATAACCGACACGAGGAGAGGGCGCGAGACGCGAGACACGGTCACGCCGATACCGATACAGCGGGCAAATGCAACCAGGGGGTAATTTAAACGAAGCTCGATCACGTGACTAATCGGCAGACACACGGAACAATCTTCCGACGATATAACATTCGTCCGATTGCCTCTTTCTAATCTGAGATAGCATGCATGGTAAACGCTGCGACGTACAAGAGTATAAAAAAGCATACGATTCTGAGCGATCTCTACAAGACCGGCACGTTCTAGTCGTTACCGGAATGTCAAGTGAACAATACAAGCTTAATGGACGATTCGTTCTATGTTCTCGCAACTCGATAATTTATCTACGATCTTGGTCACGCATCGCGCGCGTATGCACTCCGCTCTGCTTCGCCCCGCGCCGCGCCAGAGAAAGAACGACGGACAGAGCACTGTTCAAGCTCGTGACGATTTTTTTGGAGGAATCGCGCAATGACTAGGACGGCTCCTTTCGCGTAACGATCGAGTCTCTCCTCAGGATACAATTTGCCAGAATCGCGCGCGATCAGAGCGAACGGTCCAATATCCCGTTCGCCTGCGATGGTAATTCGTAGCTTGCTGAATCCGAGAATCTGCGCTCGAATTCACAAAGTGAACGAGATAGTACCGATACGCATTGTAATATAGGGGACCGTGGTTCTTCCTGCTCTTGGCCACCGCACCTCACAAAGACGCCGCGAACATCGCCGATATTATACCCTCTTTCCGCGTAATAATCGCGTTACGCTCCTTCCTGCTTCGCGGGGAGCCTGTAGGACGCTAATAACCGAATACGGTCAGAGATAAGCATGATGCGAGTTTTACGTGTATGCTTTCCATAATTACGACTATTTCGATGTATCGAACGATATTGGCTAATGTAGCTCGGTCGCTACGACCAAATCTAAATTGAATTTCCATTAAGAGAGAAATAAAAAAAAGGGAGAAGAAAAAGGCACGAATGTTTTAAAATTTCTCGAATCACGCCGAGACACGCGGCAGATCGTTAAAGATCTTGAAGTAGAAATGCCGGATATTCCGTATCTTACGACAGGATTCCGTCGAATTGCGTCGTATAAAATCGCCGGCATTGATGAAGAAAACAACGCGCGAGTTTAATCGAGCTGCTCGAGGCTCGCGAGAAAAAGAAAAGCCCATGTCGAAGGAACGGAGGGAAGAAATCGTAAATTACAAGAAAAAACGATTATAATTCTTGCGCGTACGACAAGTGGAAAAAGGCGGAGAAGCTCGTCGAGTGGAAGAGTACCAAGACGACCGAAAAAAGGCAAAACGGAGCAACGAATGAGGCAGAAGAATAAGGAGAAGAAGATAAGAAGGAGAGAATGAGATTCTTCCTCGGAGCAGACGTCAGTTGGTCAAACGGACGTATGATCAGCGGCGTTGATAGGCTGCAGAAGGAGGTGTCCGTCACTCCCACGAACGCGATTAAGTGAATCAATTATGCCAATAACGGAGCGACTAGTCTGACCAGGGGGCGATTGGCGGACAATGCAGATCGAATTATATCCCCGTAGAAGACGTACGAGTCGCACGAGCGAGCGCGTGCATACATGCGATGGTGCACAATGGATACGCGCCACTTGTTCCAGCAAGAGGGAACGAGAGAAACGAAGGAAAGGAGAGAGATCGAGGGGAAAAGAAAGACGAAAGGGGGGCGGGAGGGGAGGGGAGAGGGAAGGAAAGAGTGTGACAGGGAGAGAGAAGAGGGGAGGAGAGAAATATGCGGGTCGGTGAACCATGGCAAGGATGCACGCCGACCGGGTGGATGCTGCTTCTTGGATTTTTGTCCACGAAACGAGAAGCCGGGAGAGGAACACGGCCAACTCTCGCATCCCGGCTCTCGAAGATCGATAACAGAGAAATAAGGATCTGTTTAACGAACCGGAACGATTTGATACGAATAAAAGCCGTAGCTCATAAATAAAATGAACAATGTACGGGACTGCGGCTTTTGTTCTTGTTTCTTGGCCGCTATTCCTGGAGACACGGCCAGAAAAACGGTAGGTTAGATGAACTGGTGGATGGACGTTGCGGTTGGAGGAGCATCCGGACGGTTGCGCATCGCATGACAGAACCTTTGATTCCAGCTCAGATAATTAAACGAGCCGTGATTCGTTTACGAACGCGAACGCCTCTCCTGCGAATCTTACGTCGCAAGTGTCAATTAAGCCCGACGTTCGTTGCTACGTACGTGTAAACCAAACCGTATGAAAATTCATCTTCCGTCTGGGAACAAGATACATTGGAGAGAGTGTAACGAAGAATGTACGACGGTGCGAAAACGAGCAACGACGTTCCGCGAAATCTACGCGGGCCAATCAACCCACGTTCGACTTAATTAACGTTGCAACGATTGCCTCGTTATTATACCCATGTACAGCCGGTTGATAAATAGTCGGTGAATACTGAGAACGATGTTCCTACGGAAGCCGGAATCGTCGTCTCGAGTACATTCCTAAGTTTCTGCGGATTCCAACTAACTAACAGTCGTTCGAGCGCTTGACAAATTGTACCGTACGCTGGTGATCGATTATCTAAACCGAGCGCGCACGATTCTTCGCGCTTCTTCCGTTAAATTCAAGTAACTGATCCTTCCGCGACCGATCTTCTATTTATCATTGGGATCATTTTCGCATCTACGTTTGCCAACTAGCAATAAAATTATAAAATTCCAATAAATCAGTATCTCGTGTTGAGTTCTTCGTGACAGGCTGATCGTTAACGAAGGAAAGAGGAAGATGGAAAAAATGCAAAAGCAACATGTATGATAAGTAGTAATCCATTAATTCTAAGAGTGATCTTGACCGTGAGATTTGTTTATGTATGATCGCATGCACGGGATGATACCTCGGCTAGGATGAAACGACCGCGTAAATCATTTCCAATCGATAGCGTCAAAATCACGGTAAAATCGTCCGTGTTCCTTGGTTCCAGACACTGCTCACCGCTCGTTTCTCGCGCAGTCTCTTCTCAAACGTATACCTTTAGTCGATCTTCTCGACGTAGCCCGGCCCTCTTTATCACGAGAAAATCTTGTCTTCCTCATAGCATTGTCCCGTAACATGCTGCGTTGCATTAACGAACCTCTATTTCTGTTATGGAGCACGCGAGTCGACGTAATTAAACCGTGACCCGTCATCGTCTGAGTCGATTGTTCCTGAATCGAGATCGGAAATGATGAAATTAGTAGGTAAACTCATTCGACGTTGCATCAAGAACTTGGAGGATATTGTTGTAACTATCACAGCGAAGATTTGCAAAGTATCGCGGTAAACTGGTATCATTGTTCCATAGTTTATCTTTGATCGGCCGTGTCTCCACGTCGAAAAGAATTTGACGTTAACGACGGTCTGTATCGTCGCGACTTCCGTATCGCTGTGAAACGATCCTATTTCCTGACCAGCAACGCTATTGTTCCGATAACGTCGTAAAGAAGCAGTTCAAACGCCGATTCGCGGGACGATGTTCGCACAGTTACACTTGGATGATTTATCGTCGCGATTGCTCGAAGATACCGATAAAGACTACGACGAACCAAGCATCGCTTCGCGTACATGTAATTCCTCCATAAAACGGACATATACTTCGCATTAAAATTACGAAATAGTTTCATCCAGCAGTTTAACTTCAGGTATACTCGGAATTACAATCACGTACGGTATCGCGTTAAATATTCCAAGCAGAGAACAACTAATTACAAGTTAACTGGCAGCTGCTAATCAAAACAGGTTTCGCGTGTGTTTGATAGCTCGACGTATCGTGGCTACGTCTGTTAAGAGAAAAGGCGGTGGTTACGATATTCTTGGCTAAGTTTCTGTCGAAACAATAAATACTAATTAGATTTATATCACACAGCATCTATTATAACTGTATTTACGAAGCTGTTGGGCAATAAAAAATTAATTAGAACGTACGATATTTTGAAACGCTATGGTGAAGATGGTATATTTCGCGATCTGAAATTGAATCCTGGGTTGTTCTCGACCCTCGTTCATAATCTTCGAAGTGAAAACTCGTACAACGTCTACAATTTCGATGATCGACAAACCACTGTCGGAGGTAGTAATAAAGCAGCGATATCGACCGCGATAGAGCAAAACATTCTGCTCATCGATCATCTGGAGTGAGGTAGAAAGCGGATGAAACAAAAAAAGTGAACGACACGTTGTTATAGAAATTACGTTAACGCGAGGCGTGGCGACGAAG